ATTCCAGTATGACCATTCTCCACGGGAAGTGATTTCTCACTTTGTCTCTCTATTTTTGTCTCTTTCCATCTAATATATGCTTCCTCTGGTAGAAAACAAAAATAGAAATTAAAACCAGGCACTGAGCCCTTGTGAATGTGGGATCCTGTGGAACTGCACAAGTAACAGGTAACTTTGTCTCCCTTTCCTCTTTATTCACAGGAATCAGCACCATTAGGCACTGGGGACCTTTGCTCCAGGTCCTGCCACTGCCAGGAAGCAATAATTAAGCAAGGGCATAATTGTCACCCAGATCTATGAAGCCAGCTCTTCTTGTGCCATCTTCAAGGATTTTTCCGCTTTCAGCACCACCAAATGATAATGCTATTGCTACCTAATGACAAAGGAGAAACACCTGAGGTGACAAAGAGCTCTGAGATGAAAGGTTAGAGCCACCAAGGAGTGATTTCACCAGCTCCTTCTCTGAGGTGAGTGCTGGGCATGCATTTTATGACCTGGTAAGAGGAAAGGCATTGGGCTGCTGGTGATTGCTCTGAGATGCCATTCAGGAGTTCTGTGCTCTGGTTCCAGTTCTGCTCTCAATGGGCAGATAATTTCTCATTTTTGGCTGTGTAAAGGGGCCAGCAAATGTTGGCTGATTTGCTCCTTAGATCTTCCAGCAAACTAGGACAGTGTTTATTTGTGCTTAACTTTATTTTTATTCTGTAAATCAGCGGTGGCTGCAATCCTTGATGCATGACTATGTGGGTCTGTAAGAACATATTTTTCTGCTAGAGAAATTATTGCATGGTCCATTTTACACTTGTGCTTATCAGACATAAGCATAACTCTCTGAAAAACAGGAGGATGAATGGAAAGGAGGAAGGAAACAGACAGACGCCTGAAGGTTACTTGGCCTTTAACAAAGTAGGCTGGCTGTTTGGTCAGAGCTCCATGCTAGGGATGCTGATCCATACAGATCCATAAAGAAATTCCACACATTTCAGAGTACTTGGCCATGGCTGGGGAATATATTAAAAGAAATTCCACACATTTCAGAGTACTTGGCATAGCGGGGGAATATATTAAAATTGACAGAAGATTCTTCTTGATTCTCCCAAGTATTCTCACTCTGAAACACTTGTTTTTAACCATGCTCCTTATCTATATCGACAACAGTGTTTCTTAAATGTTAGCCATTTTTGGCTCACTTCCTGGCCAGGAAAGTATAACTTTATATTTAAGAGTGGAGAAGTTCAGGAAGCAGCCTAATTTTTTCTCTTTAACTCCAAACTCACACAGAAGATTGGTACTTTCTTGACATTTCATTAAAATGTGGGAAGCTTCCATAGTTCTCCTGGCTTCTGGATATAGTAAAATATAAAAAAAAAAATCTGCTGGTCCTAGTTGGTCACAAGAACAGTAGTTAAAATAAATCTTCCAGTGTAATAAAAATTATTTACTTAATTCCAAGTTCACATGTCTTGTTACTTTAGTTGGGGACATGCAGGGGTGGGTGTTGGAATATATTTTTCCCTCTTCATTTTTTCCATACCCATCCTCTTCGACTTCTCTTTATCAGGTTATTATTAAGAGGCAGCCTTGACTTCAATAATGTCAGGAGGAGGAGATGGGGGAGGTACATTGTAGAAAATGTTTTTGTCGACTGATACTCTTCTGAGCATGCACGTCTCCTTTTCTGGGCTTAGTAGTTGCCTATCGCTGATGTTCTTTCATAGGATACTTTTCCTAAGTCTGTAGAAAATGGCAGTTTTCCAAAAGAACCCACTTTTTAGGAAGGGATGAGGTATCTCCTTGGACTGGTCATTTAAATTTCTTTGCTCTGTTCTTGGTATCTAGCTATCTTCTTGAGCAAACACCCAAATTGTTTTAGTTCAATTTTTTTTCTTTATTTCTTTTTTTTTTTTAAAATTACATTTAATCACTGTACATCCTTACAGCATGGAAAATGTTGTTTTTCCCAGCATAAATGCAGTGCATATTACTCAAGTCAAAGATATTACCATATACATTATCATTAACAGGTAATTTTTCATTTTTGTGTATGATATTTTTTCCCCCCTGAACCTCTTCCTCTCACTCCTTGTTACCCACTCCCTCCTGTACTGTCTCTCTTACCTACAGTTGCCCTCCCTGCTGTTGTACCTTGGTTCTTATTTAGTACCTTGGCTCATAATGTTTTGCTATTGGCCCTTGGGGTTTAATCCTACTTCAATGTCTTTTTACATTTCAGTGGAGAAAATGAAGTCAGAAATATAGCATACTTGTTAAAAGCATAAACTTGTCACTCCTCCTGCCATTGCAGCTCCTCAGACCAGTGTCACTTGTGTCACATGACTTCCTATAACCTCTTGTCAGTTGTTTGCCACCTTGTCCTTCAGAGACCTAGGCGTTGGCTCCATGCGCTTTAGGGCAGGTGACACCCAGCATCCTGGGGGGTTCAGGAGCTTGTGGTGCACTGGTGTCTTCCACCCATTTTGTGTCCTGGTCCTCCTCTGGGGGCTTTGGCAAGGGTTTCAGTGCTGGCTATGTAGATTCCCTGGTCAGCTCCGACGTGTTGCTGGTGGGCAATGAACAGGTCACCATGCAGAGCCTCAACAATTGCCAGGCCTCCTTCCTGGACAAGGTGTGTGCCCTGGAGAGGCTAATGGTGAGCTGGAGGTGAAGATTGGTGACCTGTAGAGCAGCAGGGGCCCGAGCCTTCCCACTACTATGACCATTACTTCAAGATCATCAAATACCTGAGGGACAAGATTCTTGGTGCCACCTTGGAGAACTCCAGGATTATCCTTCAGGTTGACACACCAAGTTAGAAATGGAGCAGGCCTTGCACATGAGTGTGAAGGCCAATATCAATGGTCTGTGCAGGGTGCTAGATGAGCTGATCCTGGCCAGGACCAACCTGAAGATGTAGATGGAAGGCCTGAAGGAGGAGCTGGCCTATCTGAAGGAGAACCATGAGTAGGAGACTAATGCCTTGAGGGGCCAAATGGGTGGCCATGTCTGTGTGGAGGTGTATTCTGCTCTGGGCATCAACCTTGCCCAGATCCTGAATGACAAGAGAAGCCAATATGAAGTCATGGCTGGATGAAGGATCCCAGAGCTTGGTTCACTAGCCCAATCGAGGAGTGGAAGCGGAAGGTGGCCAGCCACATGAAACAGCTCAAGATGAGCAAGTCTCTGGTCACCAACCTGGAGCATACCCTCAAGGGTATTGAGATTGAGCTGCAGTCACAGCTGAGCATGAAAGCCACCCTGGAAGGCACACTGGCAGAAGCAGAGGCCTGCTTTGGAGTGCTGCTGGCCCAAATCCAGGCACTAATCAGCACCATGGAAGCCCAGCTGGTGACATGGGTGCTGATACCGAGTGGTAGAATAGGAGTACCAGTGGCTCATGGACATCATGTTGATCCTGGAGCAGGAGATCACCACCTACTGTAGCCTCCTGGCACACTACAACCACCTGCCCAACCCCAAGAGCCTCTGACATGGCTGGCTACTGGGCTCCTGGGCTCTTAGACTCCTGCCCTCCGGCAGAGGGATTCTCTAAGTAGGCATTGGGAGGGAAGGGACCCTTATACTGGTTCTTCCTCTGACCTGACAATAAAACTTTATGTCCCAAGGGAGGGAAAAAGCAAAAACAAAAACACATAGACCTGTGGTCCTGGTTCTACAACCGAATAACTGCAACATTGAGTAACTTAGTTTCTGAGCCTTGATTTCTTTACATGTGAAGTGGAATGATAATATTTACTTCAGAGACTTGTTGTCAATGAGTTTATAAAAGATTTGTCATGCACTCAGCTGTCATGGGATATTATACCTGACCTACAGATTCTCGGTAGTCATATGGGCCTGGATTTACCCAGTGCTATGAGAAGATGCAAGTGGTTCTGTATTAGATTCACCACTATATGCTCTGAAATTAATATGAAACCAGTCTCAAAAATACTACAGCTAGCCATTTAAGAAGAGTTTCTTATTTGATGAGTAATGTTCGCAATTTTCACGGTCTTCATATACAATTTCTCATGCCTCTTCGAGATACCCCAGCAGAGCAGGCATAAGACAATATTCCATTCCCCTATTTACAGAAGAAATGTTTTGATGCAGTAGGGACAAAGGCCATAACAATAGCAGTGAACCCAGAACCCAAGTCATCTGATTTCCCAGTACTTTGTAGCTTGCATCTGCTGTCATAGCTTCATTTGCCAAATGAGCTTAGAGCTCCACATTAAAGTGAAAGGGATGCTATTCCTTGTGGTAGCAGTCTAGTTGGAGGCCTTAGGATAGAGCAGTTTCTTGGCTGGGTTTTCATCTATAGCAAGTCCAGAGTGAGTGTACAGGATGCCGCCATCCAGTACAGGCCTGCTTGGTTCCATTAGGGTGCTGCTTTTTTTTTCTTTTCTTTTTTTCTTTATTTCAGATAGAATTGGTTTCTCTAAAATTCACACGGTTGACATGCCAATAAAGAGCAGAACATGTTGACATCCAGCTGTTGCTTTCATTACCAATTTGTTTTAATTGGTCTCACACTGTTTTCCCCTCACTTTTTTGTGCAGTGTTGGTTTAACTCTGTCTGAAACCAGCTTGGCTTGAGCTGTAAACCTTTTATGAGGGGAACTTGCTGATGTGTGGAAAGTCACGGGCAGCTGGCCGGGCCTGGCTGGCAAGTCTGGAACATTCCAGGCCTGACCTTAACCCTTCAATGATTTTGTTTTTTCTTTCAAAATCTCCTATTTTAAAAGGTGGTCCCTAAAAATTTAAAGAAAGATCTATCTCTGGCTAAACCTCTACCAACATTTACTCTTAATGTGTAAGTATATACTGTGAAACTGAGAATTTGGATAAGCTTGAACCAAAGGGTATTTGGCAATTATTGCTACTGCAGTGGAAGGGACCACTTATAATTTGAATGCTCATAAATAGGACATTTTGTTCTAGTCAGTGTCACTAATTAACAACTGAGCAGCAGCTCAGTGCGGAGAGTGTATGTGGAGGAGGACAGGAGTCCAGATGGTGGGCTGTGATCCTGAAGTTTGGGCATCAGTCAAGGCTACAAGGAGATTACAAGGTGAGCAGGAGGGAGGTGGCAGCCAATGTTTGCAAAGGCTTTGTTGGTGCCTACTGCTAGCAACTACGGAGTGTACTAAGTAGTGTGAGACAATAGTTTTATTTATTTACAAAGAGCCATGAGTGACAACTTATTTAAATCCTATAGCTTGGTTTTGATTTTTAATCATACTCAAGTTGAACACACACACACAAACACACACACACACACACACACAGTAAAATCAGGATGTAGGTCTTTTTTGTTGTTGTTGTTATAGGGCGCGTGCGCTTGCCAGACAGAGAGAGAGAGACAGAAAGTGAGAAATCACCCCCCAGGGGAGATGGCCACGCTACAGTCACTTCTCCTCCATTCTCCTCTTGGGATCTTGGGCACGCACGCACACGCACCCGGCGTGAGTTTTAAGCCACCAGGCCCGGGATGCAAACCGCGGACTATGTGGGAGTCCAGCGACGACATAGTCATTATGCTAACTGCTGGTCCCAAGGGTGTAGGTCTTTTTTAGTAACTAATCATTTGCTTGGATGTTTGATCAATATTTAGTAAGCTACTATCATCTTCTAAGTCCTATTACCACTATTCTAGGATCCTGTTGAAATGAGGCCACTAGTGTCAAGGAATCTTAAAATCTATTAAAAGAGATACACTATCATAAGAAATTTTAATATAGTATAGTATGTGGTAAATTTCACAAAGGTAAAAAGAAGTCATAGGAAAAAAAGATTTCTTCTGAAGGATTTTTTTAAGACATCAACATCAGTCCTTGTGATAAAAGAAAAGTAGATTTTATTGTGTTAGATGAAAATTCCTACGATATGTCATAGTTTATAAATTGACCTTGGCCTGTTCTGGTAGCAACTGCATACTTCACTCCTGAAAATACTGAAAAATTATCTATGTATCACCTTTGGCACACTCTCAGAGGTAGGTTGCCAAGGTTGAAATGCTGATCACACAAAATATTACAACTGTGTGAATCTACATAACTTAGAAATGAGAGTGGAGATTTATTTTTATTGTTTAATGGTCACCTTTTGTAGAAAAATCTACATATGGAGTCTACCTGTTGTGGACCCCACTGTTAAGACACTCTCCTCTGCAAGATGAGACCAAATGGGAGGCCCATATTCAATTCCATGTCCCTAAACACCAGGTGTGGTGGTGTTCACCTGTAATTCTGTCAATTCAGGGAGGCTGAGACGGGAGGATCACAAGCTCAAGGCTATCCTGGGTAACAAATCTATCAAGACCTTGTCTAACATAGAGCTCAGCATGGCAGTGTATGCCAATAGTCCCAGATAATAGACTAGTAGGCTGAGGCAGGAGGACCTTGACTTAAAAACGAAGCAGAACAAAACATAAACAAAAATTGCATATAGGCAATGATAAATTCTTTTTTTTTTGTTGAGATTTTTGCTATAGCATGCATGTACCCCCCAGAGAGACAGAAAGCCAGAAATTATCCCCCAAGTCCCAGTGGAGATGGCAATGATGCAATCCCTTCTCCTCTGTTCTCCTCTCAGGATTTTGGGCGTGCACACACACACATGCCTGGCATGAGTTTGAAGCCTCTGTGTCCAGAATTTGAACTGTGGTTGACCATGTGGGATTGCAGAGATGTAACCATTATGCCATCTGCTGGCTCCCCCCAGCAATGATTAATTCTTGGAATCTGACAATGGTACAATTGTACAAAATTTCATGGGAATCAAATAAATTACTAACATAAACATATTATAAATTTAGGTTTTGTAATGCTTTATTTTATTTATTACATTAGCTCTTCTTACACTGTATAGCTTTCCTTTCTCAATTTTTTTCTGTTTACTTGGTATATTTATACATTGTTAACCAACATTTAGTCTGAGAACTTGATACTAGGTAACAAAACGGATCACATGTGATTCAGTGATTCTGGAATCCTAAAAGACATCACAACTAATTAGTTATAGGTTTCAATTTTAAAACTAATCATTTCAAAATAGTAAAAGAGGAAAAAGCTAAAAATTCCTTTTATCTTTATTCAGAAGTATCTTAACAATATGCATGTAATACAGTAAGAACTCATGATTTTCTATCTGCTGCTGGTGAATTATATAGCACTATACAATTTGGAGTGGAGAAAGGAATTGATTTTTCTGGAGTAACTTCTGAGCCAAGAGTTGTAAAGAAAAGAATATAAGACCTGATTTTCCTGCTATCCTCATGAAGGAGTATTTTGGGCAAGGAAATTCTGGACGCACTATAGTGGGACAGAGCGATTTGAGTCCCTAACACTGCCCTCAAGTTCAGTGGTTATGGGAGGTACTCACACAATTCAGAAGAGCAATTATACTCACAATTATGGTTTGTCATAATTATATGCTATAGATTAAAATCAGCAAAGGGAGATTACACATAGGGTAGAGTCCAGGAGAGACTGTGCATGAGCTTGCAGTCTTCTTTCCCAGTGGAGTTGTACAGATAGTACTTAGTTTTTCCAATGATGTATGAAACACATATGGAATATTGTCACCCAGGGAAGTTTACCCAATCTTTGGTGTTCATGGTTTTTATTGAGGGTTAATTCTGTAATCATGAAGTGCCCACATGGATGACTTTAGTTACTGAGTCTGTAGTTACTTTAGAGAACAAATAGATATCATGTAGCCCAAGGCTTTCACCATAAATCACATTTTGGGCAAAAATTGGTGTGACCCAAGGCTCCAGGTAAACAAAGATACTATTAGTCAGGGCTTAGAGGGTTTAGAGCTTACTTTCCACAAGTCAGTCAAGGACTAGACTTTTCTTTGGAATATGTAGCATTTGAACATCCCAGAACCATTGAGTCAACACTTAACAGCAGTTGGCATTCCCAGAGGAGGGTCCTTACACCATTGCACCTTCTCATAAGACACTGGTAAGAATAGTTTTGCCTATGGGAAGATCATCAGGTTACTGAGGTAACGAGTAATTTGGTTTAGGTTTCAGTTGTTAACTGAAGTTTTCAAGAAAACCAGCTGCCTTCCCTGTAGGAAACTTTGGAGCCTTCAGGACCAGAATTTGGTTGTAGTCTCCTCCAGCTAGGAGAAGGAAGAGCCCTTGGTCTCAGTCGCTGGCAGCCCAGACAACAAGAATGAATACTGAACATATCTGAAAAATAAATCCTCTGTAGGGAATTTTATATCCCCATGATTTATTCCAGTATATATACATAGACTGATTTGGGGAAATTAAAATACCCTTCCTGAAGCAAAATGTAGACCAGTTAAAAAGAATGGGAAAGTTAGTATTTACAGAATAAACTGAAGTTGGCTTAACTGCCTGTCTTTCTTTTGAGAATACAATGAATGACATTTCCTTCCCTTCTCATTTTCTTCCTTTCTTTGCTCCTTTCTTCCTTCCCTCACCAATATACTAGAGCTATGGAATGCATTGATAAGCACTTTATTATGATAAGTACTTTATCAATATAACAACTAGTCATAGCCACACATAGAACTCTTGCTCTTCTATGTTATAGTCGACATCTTTGTATAGATGTTCTTCCTTTTGTAATTTGTTCTCTTACATATCTCATCAAAAACTCTGAGGAAGATTCCATTTTTAAAGCTCAAGGTCAATGTACAAAAAGGCAGGGGGGGAGATATGACTTGAACTTTTATAACTGTATTTCTCCAAACCTGAAAACTTTCATTCTATTATAGAGGTCTAGATGAACGCATGATGTAGTGGTCAACTGAAAATATCAAAATTATAAACTTCCCTCAATTATCTTGAAAATACATTAGTACTACAAAGACTTTAATTTGCCTATAGCTCAGTGGATTGAGACTAGGTGATTATTCATACTTTGCCCAAACCCCTTGGGTATGAAGGATAGGTAAAACCAAAGCAATGTGACACATTTGGAAGTTTCTGAGTTGACTCTCAGATGTGAGAGAAACCTTCCAATACTATGATTAAAGAGAAGGAGTGCTTCCCAGTACTCTGACTTTATTTTTGTTGAGGCAAGATAAAGCTTTGTAAATGTGGCCTAAGGATAATATAAAAGTCATTCTGATTACAGAGAACTTGTTAACTGTAATAAAATCCTGGGACAAGTCTTTGGCTGGGCATGATATTCCCTAAGGAGCTGAGTCATATTCAGTGAATGCTGCCAAATATTTTTTGAGGTTGAATTGCTCAGGGTATCATTATCAATGGATTTTCATCTCTTCTTTTTGAATCAATGATTTCCTTTGTTGTATTTAGGCTTCTTTGTATTCTTTTGACACTCATAACAAAAGATGGCTGATTTAGAATTGTTGTTTGCTAGACAAATCTAACATCAGGTGAGTCATTCTGCCCATTAACCACCTCTGCTCTTCACTTTTGTGTGCAGTGTGCTTGCTTTGGTAGAGTTTACCTCATCCTGTGTTGGGCCTGATTTCCACTTAAAAAATATATGTTTGCTTTTAATCCTCAGGAGTTCTTCTGTCTCTTTTTCTCTTTGTAACAACTCACTTCTATTCTTCCCACAGCCATCTTGATCCAACATTTTATTTAGGACTTTTAAATTATCAAGGCAAAAAGCAGGAAGAACGAGTTTCAGAATGAAAACCTTGGCCCTGTTACCACAAAATCTATTGCCAAGATTTTTCCAAACCACTTAGGTATAACAATTGCTCGTTTTTATTACTTAAGCTTTGCCATTCTGCCTTTTCAATAACTATGCATCAGATATGTACATGTACCATATATTTTTATATCTTTTACTTCACTTTTATTATGTCAATTACTGAAAGGTCATTCAAATTTTTTTTTTTCTGAACCAACTTATCTGAAAGGCAAGTGCTACTAGAAATTTGTTCAAAAAAGAAAGACTGGTTCATTTTCTTTTTTAATGAAAGGCAAGTGATTAACTATAGTAACCAGTTATGTTTTCTTAATTGTAGAAATGGAGAACATATGTATATGGTAAACTCTCTTTGAGTAATAAGAGAGTCACATATTAATAATGTCAAAATAGTGAAGTTAAC